GATACCAGTGCTGGATCCAGGATTTTAAGTTCATAATCGTTAGCTTCACTCTTCATATCTGTGGCCGGCACATCACCTTCGCTAGCTGAACTCTCGCTTCGGCTTACTTGCGGTTAACCGCGCTTTCACTCCGGTTTGCTTATAGTTAGCTTTCAATTCATTTGTTGGTTAGAGCAGTATTAAATATGTTTTAAAAATATCATAGTAACAAGGATGTTTATTTAATTTTACTCTGTCACTAGAAAGGTATTCCTGAAAGAAGTCCTGGCTCGACTTCTCACTCAGACTGGACTTAAACAAGAACCTGGTTAGACCAGATGCAGTCTGAAGAAAAGCTAGTCAAAACTTGAATATTCAAAGAAACGCACAGGATAATCAAAACAGAAACGTTTGGAACAAGGGTAAAGGCTGCATCGCCGGAGCTTATCCGGTTTATGTAGCGTTAGCGACTAGCCATATTTCTGCTTCTCACTGGAGGGGATGCTAGTCCATTGCAGGGTTACCTCCACCATTAAATTCGCCGGTACCCCATTTACACCCCTGGCTGGGAGAGGTGTCCAGTGCCTAAGAACACAACGTAATGACTCCAGCCAGAATTCAAACCACTCAATTAGGAGTCCGGCGCGCTAATTCAGTTTTCAGGGCTTTTCCCCTTCCCTGGGAGAAAGGTTGGCGCTATCCATTCCTCCAAAAATAACGTCCCATTCCTCCCAGATAAGGATGGTGTAAAATTGTGCGCACGTGTCCAGAGGTTGATCGGTGCTTACGTGAATGCGCGTTACTTTAATTAACAACAGCAGCACGCCATTAAAAGTGCGTCAACGTCTGAGTCCCCTTAGCACGTTTTCCCTACTCGGAGTTCGTAATAGCTGAAATTCGAACCAGTGAAGGTTGCTAAACATAATCCAGGGTCAACTTTTACATAACTGCATTTGCCAAGCCTTGATCCGCGTTCTGTCCTTTTTAACTGGGCCGATTTTAGACGGCAAGTAGCTGTATTCTGACCCATATCATCAGCATATGACATGTCAATAGATACTCTCCGCTGAAGAACTTTCTCAGTTTTTCGC